TTGTTTGGTGAACAACAAAATTTGCACTAACAAAAATTTCAGCATTGAACTGACTTGTGAAACGATGACACAACCATGTTGTGATGCAGCAACCATGACACTAACTGAAGGGAATATGATGGATGGGTGACTGAATGACATTCTAAGTGCACAGGAAATAACAGCAATGGGGTAAATGTCAACAGAGCACCTGTCTGTAAGGTTGATGTCCTTCAGAAAGCTGTTGGAAACTTGCTAACACATTATGACATCAGACGAGTTCTTTAGAAGCCCAGGTCCTCACAGCATCAGCCTCCAGTAGCAGAATCTAACTGGACATGAATCACTAACGTCATTATATACAGAGATAATCCTGGTGTGTGTGTGTGTGTGTATGTGTCTTTTCGTGAAATTGTAAATGTCTGTATGTGTCAGTGATAATGATGACATGGTAACATTAGAGTGATGTTAGAGGAGTGTCATCTTTTTTCAACACTGGACATCACAAGAACTATAATTTCTGAAGTCCATCAGCTAACAGAGTAAGAAAATCTGATGGACTTGGTGAAGTGAACAGCGGTGGGCCGATGGCTGCCTGTTCTGAAGTGCCACACCCCTCTTACATGTGGAGGGCACATTAGTAATAGAGCATATTTACAGGGTTGCAGAACTCAAGATGGGTCAGGAAATATGCTCACCTATGGCAGCATGTTCTCAGTGTATAAAAGATAAAGGGGGTAGAGAATATGGACTGGATGACAGAATTCTTCCTGTAAAGATTTAAACAGCATGATGTCCTTATTAATGTCATTAACTTATAAATTACGGTAAGATCTGTAAAACAGTCATGGGCTTAAAAGCTACAGACCAATGATAGATATATAGTTGGTTAATCAGTTCATGGAAGCTCTGCAGCGTCTTCAAGGCGTCATGAGCTTTTTTGTGGTAGAGAAGGAACATTTGGTGATTTACTTCTGAGTATTATTTTAAGGCATAAGACAAAACGATCAACTGACTCTGCAACTGCTTCTAAGCCATGGATTCTTTTTCTGGAAGTTTTTCTGTTTTTATTCCTCCATTTTTGATATTGATATGGAGAAAAACTGCTTAGGACATGTGGGTATGTGGAAGAAGCTTGGTGACCCAGAGGGATCCTTACGGGAGCAGTTGTTGGTAAGAAACCTGGGTAACAGGAGGGAGGCCTGTTCCGGGGCTCGACCAGAAAGATCAAAGTGCAGACGACCCCCTGTACTGGAGGACATATTTATGAGACATGCTGTTCCATATACATGTCACTGGCTTCAACTCTATTATTGGCTTTATACCTTGTATCATCTATGAGTTACGTGCCACTGGGGGTTAGACTATAATGAACGAATGGTATCAAATATGTCACTTCTGTCGAATTTACAACCTATACTGGCCGTGTGGCGAAATGTACTTATTTCTTAGATGCAGGCTCAGCCAGTTTCTGGAGCAATCGGGGGTTAAGGGTCTTGCTCAGGGGCCCAATGAAATAGGACTTGAACAGGCAACCTTCCAATCACAGCCCCAGCATCCTAACCCACTAAGCTGCACACCACCCACAGTATGGCATTCATCATATATTGCAAAGTTTTCAATGTTAACTGCCCAACCTGTTTAGTATATATCAGTATGTATACTGACTATTTAGTATATATATTGTCCTCATGTACTTTAGTGCAAAATTCATGTGCAATAAATAGCCGCCACATGTGTTGCTGCTCTAATACAGGTTTCTTTGCTCACACCTCCTGCCCCATGGCTGAAAACTGGAGGCAGTCGATCTGTTTTCATTTATTCTCTCTAGCATGACGGAGCACTAATTTCTCCAGTGTAAATCATCTAGCTGTAACAGGTTGAGGTGAAGCTATCGGCATGTTTGACATTATGAAGAGGAAGGACTCGATTTAATTAAATTCAGACACGGAACCACCGGGAACGTAAATAATGCAGTTGTAGGTGAATTCTGTAACTAACATTTAAGTGATGATGACTGAACCATTTTATTTAAGAAGGACAAACCAAGTACCAGTGGGTCATCGTTTATATATGCTTCAGTGGTCTATTTCCATCAATGGCTTCGCTGTTAGAAGACTCCTGTTAGAAGCTTGCTGATGAGTGATCAACTCTCAATTGAGAAAATTCCAAACCTTACTCAGTGTATTTTTTGTTGTTTTTGAGATGAGACCGCCAATGACCTGAAGTCAGGCTTCCTTATCATATATTACAGTACTGGGCCCCAAAACTCACTCAGTCCTCATGTAAGCTAATGAAGGGCTTTAACTAAGTCAACAGAAACTTTACTGAATCCATGTTCCGTGGACTGAGTAAGTTTTGTAACTTTGCGCTTCAATTACAGAGAATAATGAATTCACAATAAAGGCGAATCCGTGCGGGGTGTATCCTGATGATCATTCCTGAGTCTATTTAAAGCTTAAGAATCACAATTATTTGAGTAATAGATGCCTTCATTTTATAAACGCCCCCAGAATCAACTAGATATAACAGCAATCCAAAAATGATGCCTGTTGATATTGTTATTACCATTATACTGTATATCGGTTACATGAATGCTTTAAATAGATATTTTCCAGCTACGATTTCCAGGTTTCGTGTCAGTTCTGTAAAATCCTTAATTAATCACTACAGACGTCCATTTCCATTGTTTCTTCTGTAGCAGAATGCCTTTACATTCCGTGAATTGGAATGTTATTCAGACCTCAGTGCCACATGGATTGGAATTCCATTCAGAACTCTATGTGACATGGTTTGGAATGTCATTCAGACCTCTGTGTCACATGGAGTGGAATGTCATTCAGCCTTCTATGCCACATTGATTGGAATGCCATTCATTTATCCATCCTATGGATTTGAATGTCATCCAGTCATATAAAGTAGACAGCCAAGTACGTAAGATAACAGGCATTTTATAGGTGGCTTTGGATATAACGGACCGTTTTGCCAGGTCCCTTGAAGTCCGTTGTAACTGGATTTTACTGTATATTTATGTATGTATGTCCGTGACATGTAAGGGGAATAATGTTGGTCTGGGACCAACTAGCTATTACAACACCAGAAATATACTTTAGTGGAAAGCCCAGAAGATTATCTCTTCCTTTAACAGCAGGCTCAACCCAGCTTGGAAAGTAAGCTGAGAGAGATTTCAGTGTATGGGTTTAACTAAAGTCTGAAATGTGTGGCTGTCATTCTTTTTACTGTGCTCTGGAAACTTCACTTGACTGCGAGGTATTTTCAGGGCATCATGGAGATGAGTGCTTGCATCCCAGTGACACGTTGAGGACGGTATGCAAGGGGACAGGGATATCATCTGACATCAGACCCAGAGCAAGCTTCAGTCCCAGACCAACATTATTCCCCTTACATGTCACGGACATACATACATACATACATAAATATACAGTAAAACCCAATTATAACGGACTTCAAGGGACCTGGAAAAATGGTCCGTTGTATCCAAAGTCCGTTACATCCAGAGTTGCTGTTTGCCCAGAACACAACTACAGGACACCATTTACTCATGCCACACCCCAGCAGACACACTTGTCGTATAGATTATTATATTGTACATGTAGTAATCCAACTTTACCTGACCAGATGCATGACTATTAATAATCCCGACTACGTATCTGCGCTGGATATCACCGGCACACCATACACCTTGTAGGCGGAGCCTGCATGTCCATTATAGCCCAACAAAACTACAGCTAAAAGCGGCCCTGGGGACCAAATTGTCCGTTATAAGCGAAATTCCATTATGTTAGTATGGGATTTATTAGATTGTATGCCCACATTTGATACTTCTAGTTGACATGTGGTCTGGTACAAACCAGCAGAAGGGCTACTGTGGCACAAATGGTGGATGATTTTAATGGTGGTCATGGGAGTGATGTGTCACCATACATATAACACCCATCCTTTCAGAAAGAGTTTCTCCTGTTTTTTTCCACAAAAATGGGCAACCAGACAACAAAGAGAGTAATCGATCAGCCGGAGGAGACTCAAGCAGCAGTTTGCAGCAGCTGTAGTAAAGCAGGGAGACGGATGAACCAGCACCCCACTGAAACACCAGCTAAATCTCAATCTGAGACAGCATGTGATATTTAATCCAAGGTGGCTTTGGGGACACTTGCTTCTCTCTCAATGAATTGGCAATTTCCTCCTGAGATTCTAACAATGGTGCATATAACACATTTAAAAAGGTACCATTTTCCACTTGCAGTTCATACAGTCATAAATGAAAGCACAAGAATGCTGCCTTTGAAAAATAGAGTAATAAAAATGCAATTAAAATGAAAAAGAAACTATTACTAACCTCATGGCATGTTTGTGGGAATAATCAAAGGGCAGGGAAGGCTTGTTAAACTCTGCCTTTCACAGCCTTCTTTTATGTAGCTGGTGAAAGGAAAAACTTTTTAGTGTCGAACCGGAGTGATGTCGCTGGCAAATTATGAATCCCATTTTTTCATAAATGTACATATTAGAATGTAATATAAACTTACAACATACTGATTAAAATGAACAATGTAGCTGTTTAAAAATGATAATGTTACCATAATCCATAAAGTTATTGCTATCCATAATACCCCCTTAAATTAATTCACTTCTAAATGCAAGCTGCTTTTTCATAGACGCCGTCTTCAAAGCCACGGGTGCCGTCATCTTTGCAACTGCTGCTGTGTTTTTTCTGCTTTGATGTAATGTCTTTAGAATTTGCACATTTCTTTCGTGATAAATGATGTCTCTACATCTGCTCCATTTGATATTAACTGCTATATATTCTTAAACTTCAGCAATGTGCGCAGGATAGGCTGATTATATATAATTAAGTCCCCTTTTCCAAAAGCTTACTTATAAACATATTATATTCCTATAACAACCCTGCTAAGTTTACTGGTTTTATTCTTGCATTTTCTTATGAATATCATTTGGCCCTTGGTTTCATAAATTCAGCTCATCATATTACTGCTTTTTCGCAGCCGTGTGATCAAAACCAATCAGGACTTGCTCCCAGAAACTCCCTGGATCAACATCTTTTACGATGACTTCTGGGGGACCCTCCTCACCCATAGTGGCAGCCACAAGTCGTACCGGCCCCTCTGCACCCTGTCCTTCCGCCTGAACCATGCCCTGGGTGGTCTAGATCCCTGGGGCTACCATTTGGTCAATGTGGTGCTCCACAGCTTCGTCACCGGCCTTTTTGCCAGCCTGTCCCGCCTCCTGCTGGGCGAGAGCCGCTGGACCTTGCTGGCCGGCCTGCTGTTCGCCTCTCATCCCGCGCACACTGAGGCGGTCGCGGGAGTGGTCGGCCGGGCCGACGTGGGCGCGGCGCTCTTCTTCCTGTCGTCTCTGAGGTGCTACTCGCAGCACTGTGCCACGAGGCCGTGCTCGGCCTGGCACTGGGCCCTGCTGCTGGGCAGCCTGGTCTGCGCGGCCTGCAGCATGCTGTGGAAGGAACAAGGGGTCACCGTGCTGGCTGTGGCTGCCGCCTACGACTTCTTCATCTTCCACCGGCTCAAGCTTCGCCAGATCGCAGTCCTCCTTTTTAAGGTACCTTCAGCTTTTTATGATTTTGTCTTTTCTGCATCATAAAAGTTGTTTACATGTGTAAAAACAGCTGCTGGTATTAGGATCTTAATTTGGTTGCACAGTATAAGTAGATCATGTTGCTAAATCTTATAGCAGAGGGAAACTTAAATGAACCTGAAACACCTGGATCTCCATTAAAAGATTATTTCTCTTGCTCTTGTTCCATCTCTGCTGGCTCTACCCTTAAAGGACAAAGTTCTTAGTTTTGTCCTGTGACCCTGACCAGGATAAGCAGTTAGGGAATGGATGGATGGACAATTATTGTGCCATAAGCCAATGTGTTTTCATGCACAGTAACAACTGTCCAACATTTTTTTACACGAGGTTTACTCCATGGTTAGCAGTAGCAATATCTTCTCATCTTCTTCTAAGACCTGTATATTAATTTGACCATCACAAGTATTTAGTAATTTCCATGTTAAATTATGCCTGCATTTATCTGGCCAGTTTCAAGAGCAGGGCTTGTTTCCTCTCTCACGATACCAAGGACAACCTGAGAGGAACATCGATATATTTTTTTTATGTTCATCAAACATGGAGGGTTACTTTTCATGCTATTGGATGGGTTTAAAGCACTCAAAGCCTGAAGCTGAGTGCAAATCACCGTAGAGGATTAACGGCAATTAATGATGCGCCAGGGAACATTTGCTGCTTTAATGCAGCGCATAAGATAGATAGATAGATAGATAGATAGATAGATAGATAGATAGATAGGTAGGTAGGTAGGTAGGTAGGTAGGTAGGTAGGTAGGTAGGTAGGTAGGTAGGTAGGTAGGTAGGTAGGTAGGTAGGTAGGTAGGTAGGTAGGTGGATGGATGGATGGATGGATGCTGTGCTTAGCGCCACCAGCTGATTCCTTATCATTTTGGAGGCATATATTTAATCTCAATTCCCACATAATGCTACTTTGGTTCCTTCAACAGCTCATTAGCACCTGAAGCTATACATTTGTCTGCAGTCATTTATTCCCTTCCTCATCTTTGCTGGGCCTTCCACAGGTCTCTTGTGCACTTCCGTTTCTGTTTTCTTCCTAATCAACTTCTGATTTTTCAGATCTGTCCCAGTTCTATGATCTGCTTCACACAGGCAGTGTAATCGTTTGCAGCATCCTGATAATCCGCACAGCTCTTCAATTAGCCTGGCAATCTGACAAATTCTAGTTCAGAGAAATGATCTCTCCAGAAGTAAATAGGACGCCTAATAGCTTCCTGGAATATATTAACGAGGAGTAATTGTTGTCCAGTAGATTTCTGGCTACATGTTTATTCTATGATGAATCATTGCTAGTGATTAACTGTCGCTGTTCAATAGATTAGAGTTTTCATCATGTATGCTATCATCTGTTGTTGGTTTTGTTTTCTTTCCCAGAGGAAGCTCAGTAGAACTAAGGTGAGTGAGTACAGGAACCTCTTTTTCAACCAGTCATGTCTGCTGCCTTATTAAGGTTCTCCTTGCTGACAGAGCAGTTGACCACACTGGTGGTTCATCGTGTTATTGCTATTACTTTTCCCCCCAGCCAAGCAATTATGACCCGAATCCTCCAATGTGCCGAAGGCTACCGTCACCTTCTCCAAGTGTCATGGTCAATTTCGTTCCCAAAATAATGTTACCTACCTGTGCAGTATGCATGTCATTATTGTGCCTGCCGACGCAATACAGGCAGTCCCCGAGTTACAAACAAAATCCAGGTTGAATATCTTTAATTAAAATTTGTGAGTAAATCAGAACAGGTACATATAGTTCTTATTTAGCGTCAAAATGTTTGTATTCATACACAGTAGGCTTATATATGTTACCTTTCTACGCAAGTAAAACACTTAAGAAACACTTCTAATTACACTAAAACTTATTACAAATAATAATATAGTAATAATTAAAGTGACAACATACGGTACTGTACTGCACCTCAAGCTGATGAACCGCTGAAGCGGCGCAATGTTTTCATGAGCGTCACAAAATAGTGTGTGTTTGTTATTATCAGGGATGGACATAGACTAACTGGCACACAAGTACGCAATCACCTTTAAAAACGATACATGCGACAATCGATTGTGGTAACAGTGTAAAGGCTTAATTGCGCTGATATGAAAACACACATATATATATATATATATAATCTTTATATGCTAACTCGACTTCATTTGAGGTGTTCAGGTTAAAATGCAAGGTAATTTCTTGTCATAGCAGTGCACATGCACATAAAATAAGTAAACATTTGCTTTTTTTACAAACAATCGATTGTCATACGTATCATTTTTAAAGGTGAATGCGTACTTGCGTACCAGCTATGTCCATCCCTGGCTGTTATGAACCTTTGTATTCAACTCTGATTTTTAGTATAATGGTCCGGAAGTTGGACGTTCTTAACATGACATTAAAAAAATAAGAGATCACTCTGTATTTAAAAAAAATCGACATTATTAAATCCTGGTTTAATCCTGGTTCTGCTGGCTGAAGCTACGCTGAGCAGCAGGTTGCTTCCAGGTTCAAATTTTCTAAGACAGCAGTTCACATGAATAAGGTGAAGCAGGAGACACTGGGAACGACCAGAAACCAGCCAGGTAATGGGCTTAAGCAACTTTCTAATGCCAAAGATAATTAAATTATCTGGCAGTGCCTCATAAATGAGTAGATGCCCTGAAGTGACCTTCAAAAGGAATAGGAAGGTGTGACTTGCAGTGCTACATACAGTATAGGCTAATTCACGGATGCACACCCATAAACTGAGAAATGAGTGAAAAAAAGTGCTGTGGTCTCTTAATTTTTCCAGGGCTGTATATGTCAGCATGGATGGGTGATAACTGCTGTGGTGGGTGGACAAAGACTTAAAGCATATGACTCCTGGCTTCTCATCAGCTATAGATGTGGAAGGAACAGGACCAACTGTGTTAATTAGGAAGAAAAAAAAATAACAGAGCCTGCATATCTCCAGCCTCCCTCTCACCCGTCTAGTGCTTGAACGGACTGCCCAAAAATGCCAGAGCAAGTCAAGGTCAAAACAGTGCTTTTCACATGCCCAAGGCTGAAGCAGAAAACATGTTTACTTGATGGCGTGCCTCGCAACCCAAATGAGGAAGTCATAAGGGCTGACATGCTGAAACTGAAGAGTCTTTTTATAGTCAGGCTCCACTGACCTCTAATTAACAGAAAAGTTTAATTATAATGTCATTCAGCAAACACAGTCAACAGGGGAAGGCTAAACTATGAAGAAATGCAGTGAAAAAGATACAAAGAAAGGAACGGGTACGCACTGGGCTTATCAAGTCAGATTGTACTCTACACATGTTCCCTGGCTTCCCTTTTTAGGTAGAACTTGTACTGCATGTCCTGCAGAAGTTTCTGCCTCGGCTTTTGAAGACCCCATGTTTTTCTGAAGAGTTTTTCTTTCTTTTATTGCCTTTTTCTTGGGTTTTACTGCAGTAAGGGAAATCAAAATGGGCAGTTTTATATCCTCGGCGTCGAAGGAGAGCATGTAGATATCCATGCTGTTTATCAATCGCATTTGTTAGTTGACTTGGAGAGAAGAGTCCGCTCTCTGGGACAAAGTCATCCACTGCTGCTGGGTTGGAAGCCTGGCAGGTCCCGGCGAATGCAGTCCCACTGGATTATCAGTTGGTTCATATTCTCCAGCTGAACCATGGTTTGAGTTTCGTGACACAAGGGCCTTAATTAGCCCCCCCGGCCTCTGGTTCTACTTCAGTCTCACTCCAGAAGGTTTTACTACACATGTAACCAGCCTTATCGAGCACCCAATTACAGCCAAGACTTATTTTTTTCTGATCATGCATTACTTACAGATGCATCCTGTTTTTTTTCCATTTTAATTCACATTACTGGCTTATAAAAGCCTTTCATACTTATACTTAAATTCTTGAAGAAAAGAATGCTGGCATTGTGTATTGTTTTGTGTCCCATCAGGTAATAAAAGGCATAACAGATTGAATTATTTATTGCAGCTGGTTCTCTCTTAAATTTTTTTTTTGCTGTTGATCTGCAATGCATACCTTTAAACGGTTATTTAGCATGAAGCAACTTTTCCCAAAAAACATTTTTATGTCTGTGTTCTGACAGTAAGAAGCACGGCAGCTACACGCATTGCTGAGCTGTTGGTAACATGAGAAATACAGTCACATACAACAATGACATCATCACACAATGTCACACTTTCATGATGTAAAGGCAAATTGTCATTCTACATGTATAAAATGCATACATTTAAAAGCAAAGGCGAAACCTATGTTGGCATTTATGGTATGTTGAGATTTATTCTTTTTCTGCTAGTTGTGTTGTTAAGTAATTATTTACGTGATTTACAGCTTAATTATTATTCATTTTATTCATGTTATTTTTTCGCTTTAAAAAACAGATCTTATCTTGTCATTTGTTATAATAAATGGTTTAACAACATTGTTTCAGCCTAATATGGAAACAAAATGAAAAAAAAATTGTGAGCATTTATTCGGATGATTAATTTCCATGTAAAATGTTTTTTTTTTTTCTTTTAAATGTCGCAGCCCGACACGGTCCTCTAGTCGCATCCAAGGTCCTCTGCTTCATTGGGGCTTTATCTAGAGGAATGCTGGTGTAGCCGTGGATAATGAGCTATCTCACTCTGGTTTGTATCCAAGGACATGCGGATACATGGGAACGCCAGAGACTTGGGGGGGGGAGGGGTCCTGGAAACAATCTGCTCACTCTGGACAGGATATTATTCCTTTTTATCTCTTTCCCTTATTCCAGTAAGCATATCTCCCATTGTCCCCTTTTTTACTATTTTCAATTACATTTGCTGCTGTATAATGCAGCTAAGCTGTGTGTGGGTAATGTATATACCATCGTTCTTTATGTGGGTACTATATATACCACTGTTCTTTATGTGGGTACTGTATATACCACCGTTCTTTATGTAGGTACTGTATATACCACTGTTCTTTATGTGGGTACTGTATATACCACCGTTCTTTATGTAGGTACTGTATATACCACCGTTCTTTATGTGGGTACTGTATATACCATCGTTCTTTATGGGACATAACACACCGTTGGTGTAGCTTTGATGGCACAAAAGTTGTATTGTTTCACAGACTGTATTGTGTAATCTGGGGTTCTGTTAGCTGATGGACTGCCCTGGTCCAGTATTAAAACAGGTGGGGGGTTGGGGGGCAGAGATTTTCTCTGAAGCCAGAAATTCCCAGTTACCCCCGTGGTTGGATTCAAAAACATATAAATTTGCCATGGCATACAGTTACACGCAAACATAAATTTATATTACCGGTATATATTAATGTCATTTGAGATAATGATTACATCATGATTGCTATAGTAAATGTCTGACTGGGAAATCTCCCCTAGCCATTTGAACTCCAAAAAAAACTGTTAGAGGAAAGGAAAATGATTAGTGCACAAATTGGCAGTGCAATCCTGATACTCTGGGACAGTCAGTTCATGCTGACTCTATAAATTAGAAGTGAATTAAAATGGACTTTATCTTCTAAATGAACAATAATGTTTTCCTTGAAGAGTCTGGGACTGTTCTGTGAAATTCAATTGTGCACACCATCTCTGTGTTTAAATGTGCTTCCTTAGCTGATATAATTATAAAAAAAAAGAGAGAATTTTAGTGTGACCCTGACTTTGTGATTTTGTACTGTGCCTAAATAATATTTATGTTTATTGATTGTATTACAAAATAGTTTATGTTTGTAAACGTAAAGGTATTTGCCTACAAGGTTAACTGCAAGGTGTATGTGTGCAACGCTTAGTGATTTGAACCACTGGGACACACTGTATCATACACTGTGGTTGGAAGGTATTATAGTTAGTGAGTCAACAAGTAGGCCTGACATTAACTCAAGAAAGCAAATGACGGAGAAAGTGTCATTCATTCTGATACCCACCCAAGTGAAAGCTAGTATGCTAGAAACATACTGTAGAATCAGGAAACATGCATCCGATTATAATTTACGAATCATAAATGGAATTTTTCTAACTGACATCTTTGTCATTTTAGCATAATTTCTAGCACAAAAAGCATCCATAAACTTATACTGCAGTAGGCCACAAGCCAAGAAGCAGAGTGAACCATTCTCCTGATATAAAAACTTGTATGTTCTGCCCACTAACCTTCTGGATATCCGTTACTGGATGTCTCCAATAAGGACTCAAGACCTCTTTGATGGCAATAATTAGGGGTATGGGCGGGGGCGGGGGGATTGGGGCAGGACCTTAATTACGTGTGTGCCATTGTGGCTTACTCTGCAGGCACTAGACAGTAATGTGAAACAGAAGTGCTTGAGATGTCCAATTGCACTAAATGGACTTTTATTTTATGAGCGGGGGGGGGGCATGGATTATGGATTATTTTGACATTGAGGATCTCCATAGGTAGACTGAGAGTTGCTTTTGGCTAATGAAAAGCATTTCTTGGAGGGACACTTACTGTCTCCTAAAAAGCCTGAGACCTACGGCTTATTTTCCGACATATAAACCCCTTGAGTACTTGGCGTTTTCTTATGTGAATTCCATGCTTCTACATTGAGAGATATAGTACTGTAAAGAGACATGCACAATAGACCACAAATGGGGGGCGGGGTGCAAAGCTGGAACACAAAACCAAATGCAAATTTAAAAAACACCTTAACAAAAAAAAAAGAAAAAGAAAAAAAACAGAAACACAGAAAGAGTACATGATACAACGTGAATACAAAAGATAGGAAAACATTTGAAATCTTTAAAAAGCCAAACCTCAAAACAGCTCCACAGCAACACAAACAGAAAAATACATGAACAACAGGGTCTCCTTCAGTAACTCACCATCCTTTAGTTTTCAGCTCTGGGTTCTACAATAGTGGCTTTTTGCTTTAAAAAAAAGAAAAAGAAAAAAGAACTACAGTTTTTTGTACTGGTTATAATTTAAAAAGTGGCATTTATATTACTTTTGATCCCAGCTCTTGGAACGTGTAATTTGTGATTTCTAACAGGCAACCCGTGGATTTCTAAGAAGGTCTGATGGTACTGTGATCACTCATGTTGCATGCTCTCTCTCTCTTACTAACAGCCTCAGTAAAATCTCACTGAACATGGTAATTCTCAGCCTGCAATAAACATCTGTTCAGTCTCTCCACCTTGCGCTCTAACCGAATTCAAGATCAAACCTCACTCTGCTGGATATATTAATTTAATATTATAAATACATATTCGACTGCAATGATTTCTTGTTTCTCAATTATTTTTTTTCCCTAAGTATCAATATAAATTCACCTTTGAAGATTTGCTCTGAAGTATTTCCTGCCTCGTGTTTAATGAACTCGTACGGCAAGGATGTTGATCTTATCTTGTGTCTTTGATCTGATGTTGCAACTAATCATACCTGTTAGGCCGCTGTTAGACATTCTCCTATTTCCTCAGTGAAAAGTCTACCCATCAATAACTGTAAACCCTGCTTTTAGTCATTATTGAACCATCTAGCCTGCCTTTCTCATGCCCCGACTTGCACTGGTTCAGTCACACCATGCACGATAAGTATCACACGCGTATTAGATTTGTGACACTTTCCGTGCTTTTGCAGAAGCTGCCTCTGAGTCTAATGAGAATCTCTGAGTTTCTGATAGGTCCCAGTTTATTAATTTTTTATTAGGCTGGAGTCCAGGACCTCACCCCCATACAACCAGAACAGCTCTTGCCAGAATGGCCACTTCACTTCTAATCCGATTACCGAAGATAAATTTTACTGATAGCAAAGATCCCCGAGGTCTTTAAAAAGAACTCGTGATTAGTGTGACTAAAAGCTATGTTGTTTGTCCAGCCTGGTAGAGCTGGTGTTTGCCCCTATTTACAGTAGATAAATAAACACATAAATAAGTAACATTGGCATAACATGTTGCTTTTGTAGCACTTAATGTTCCTTTCTGCTCTGTGGGGGTGTGACCCCTAAATCTAGAGGGTTTCTCTTTAATTAGCTAATAAAGGACAAGAAGGTCACCATGACCTTGTCATCTCCTAGCAACCGGGGTGAATCTCCAGAACACAAAGAGGGCCGACATCCAAATACATATCAGCGTTTCACTAAATGTTTTCTATTTTCTTTATCTTGCCGACAAAACCTCCTCAGTCTCTCAAAAAGATAGGCTGTAATGAAAAATAATCACTAGAACAATGGTATTGTTTGACTGTATGAAAATATATCTCTGTGCATTCAAGAATGAATTGTTTTAACTATCTGGACATGCTAAATGTCTAGCTAATACAGATAATATAGTAATGAAGTTGTCCATGGTGTTTTGCATCAATTATAACAAGTTAATACGGTATGTGGACCTTTTACCCTCTTCAATGACCCATGACACTGTTAAAATACTGGCAGAGGACTGGCAGCTCTCACAAGGGTTGTAATAGTTCTGCAATGTAAATTTATCTAAGAGGCTGATTTGGTCCTACAGCTTTGGACAAATTGAATTTGTTTCTTAAATGAGGACATGGGGCACCTGAGTTGAAACAGTTAAGAACGGCTTCAACTATACTGCAATTACTGCTTATAGTAAAGTGAAACATTAGAAGATTTATGTTGTTTTTCATAAAAAGAGCAATCAGTTATTGTTTTATGTGGAATAGTATTCAATGTACTCAGAAGGCAAACAAAAATAACAAAAAACATCAAAATAACATTTTAAACATAAGAATACTGATTTAATGATTTACGAATCCAACTCAGAACCTCAAAAAAATTGCCAGTTGTCCATAGTTTGGTTCATGCACTTGGTTTAATTATGCGCATAGCAAAAAATCTGTATTTTCCCTGGATACTGTAGCTATGTTTTTGGTGAAGTGGAAAGACTTGGCTAAGTATACTGAGTGTGCATAAAACTGTGCATGTCCTAGCAGTACAGCAAACCAGGTGCGTTTGACATTTCCAATTCACAGTTACATGCTAGCTTTGCATATTCCAAGTCATATGCTCCAAAAATAGGAGTTATTTGAAATTTCCTGCTTTTGCGAAAGACGGCCAAAATTAAACCCAATTTAAGGTTCCCTATAGATAATAATCTTAGTCAGTAAATCACATGCTAACAAGAGCAGTTCAATGGCTCCCTTCTCCCTGCATGGATGCTGCTGATTTCTGCTGAATGAAAGCTATAAACGCTGTCTTTGTTCTCTTTGTAGAGGAGAAATGTCAGCCTGCTTCTGCGAGTGACTTTGCTGGCTTGCTGGGGGCTTGTTCTCCTGGCTGTCCGCCTCTATTGGATGGGCAACAAACCGCCGAGCTTCTCCAACTCCGATAACCCAGCGGCCGACTCGCCCTGCATCCTGACCAGGACGTTGACTTTCCTCCACCTGCCGGCCTTCAACATGTGGCTGCTCCTGTGCCCACACACCCTGAGCTTTGATTGGTCCATGGACGCCGTGCCCCTCCTCAGGAGTGTTAGTGATTGGAGAAACCTTCAAACTGTGGCCTTCTATATTGGATTGCTGCTCCTGGCGCGGTTTGGCCTTCGGAGTCCGGCCAAGAACAGAGAGACCAATGGGAAGGCTCACATCACAAATGGGAAGTCCTGCACCAATGGGCACAGTTACCATGCAGGTTCCAGTTTCCAAAACTCAGACTCAGAACTCTCAAGAAATATAGAAAATGGGACGAAAAAATCCAGTCATCTAAGGACTACACTGCCCACCACAGAGAATGTGGTTGTATTTGCTCTCAGCTTGTTGTCCATTCCCTTCCTGCCTGCCACTAACTTATTTTTCTATGTGGGCTTTGTAGTAGCAGAAAGAGTGCTTTATATACCCAGCATGGGCTTCTGCCTGCTGGTGACTGTGGGCATTAGAGCCATGTATATCAGGCTTAGTCGAAGATCCTCCAAAACACTGTTAATGTACTGCAGCGCTTTGTTGGTAATTCTCTACGGGATCCGGACTGTGATGAGGAACCGAGACTGGCAGAAAGAGGAGATGTTGTACAAGTCAGGAGTAACTGTGAATCCTGCAAAAGGTAAGTCAAACGTTTACATATCACACATGGATCTTTAGACCCCCTTTGGTACCTAAAGCACAAGATTAAATCGGCACACTGTTATTCTCATAAGAAATGTACCTGCACTTATTAAGCTGTAAGCATTGTCCACCATGTGGAAGTTGTATTAAAATTGTATTAAAAATGTTAGTTTTAACAGTATAGTCCTTTTAAATTATTCACTGGGACCGTAATGCTACCATCCTTCATATTACCAGACACAAATCATAATTTTTTTCTCATTATTTTTGTCTGTTTATCTTTCTCAGCTGTCACAGTTTTAAGAGTAACTTTCCAGAAAAACATTATTCTACATGTCTCCTGATCCTTTTGGCAGAATCCCTCCACACATCTCCACTTGGTGTCAAGTATTGGAGATTTTCAGTGAGCTTTGTGTTAAATAGTCTCCATTTTGTTTTTAGAAATTGAGAGACATTACATCTGTTTGTGCTGGCAGAGAAGCAGACAGCTTGTGGTCGTGGTCCATATGAAGTCTATGTCGGGGCAACTCCTAGATGGTTTCATCCATAGTTCAGCCTTATTTGTCTTCCAGAAATGGTCCAGTGCAGCCAAAACAAACAGAGGTGCACGGGAGTGTCAGACTCTAGGTGCTATAGCGGTTTCTAGCATGCATTCTGTCATTCACGTAATAATAAATTGAGCCTAACAGACACTCTGGCAGACAGAGCAGACAATATGTTTTAATAAATGTACAGTGCAAATTACTTATAATGTGAAATACTTATTTTACTTCCTCCTGAATTCACTAGCTGTTGCAACACCAAAAAGGAAACGAATTAAATGTAATCAGTAAAACCGGTCATGACTCCAACATACATACGGACTGCCAAAAGACAAAGCTTAACCTTAAAGTTGTCTGAAATATGTAAGACATATTTAGCCGTTTGTAATATTTTTAACAAACATTTCAAGATCCTGTTGATTTATGTCCGTATGTGAGTGTATTGGTTAATTGTATCTATATTTGAATGATGTTGACAGTTTGGTATAGAGTTTCACCTCTGTGATGTGATTTACTTCTGTACTTTGAGGGCGTGTCATCATTTGATGTGAATGTACTTCATGAAAATATCACGCTCTGTGTCCATCAGCATGGGGAAACCTCGGGAATGTCCTGAAGAATCAGGGAAAGGTGGGGGAGGCCGAGAGGGCCTACCGAAATGCCCTGTACTACCGCAGGAATATGGCTGACATGCTGTATAACCTGTGAGTACCTTTCATTTGCCCTCTTTGCAGGAGACTTTAATGGTGACCCCCTCTTGGGCAGAAGCTGTGTGGTATGTTTGCTCCCATCCCTTTGTTCCCCTTCATCATGCTCATCATGGCTTGGACTACTAGGGGTCAGCAACTTGCGGCTCTTTGGCCATGTGGCTGTGGCTCTTCTCAGAACGACAGACACATTCACATTTTCATGTCTTAACATATTATAATACTTTCGTAAAGATAAATTATTCATTTATGTTTTAATATTGTTATTCATTTAGATATTTCTTTAGCTATATGTGAATGAGTTCTGTCGCGTGCTTCTACAGTATGACGTCTTAATTGCATCATTTACATCTTCCTCAAAGTCATTCTCTACGACGAAATTATGAGTTTTCTTCTGTTCCTGAGATCGGATGTACACTTCAGCATTTATTGGGAATTCTAATTCTTTATTATACTTTTTGTAGTAAATAATTCTTTCCCAGGTCTTCGTAAAAATTGGCATATTTTCTCCGGTTTACTTATTATAACCAGCTGAGTTTGGAGTGGTGAGGACATTTTGTGCTGCTCAGTCAGCACAGATACAGTAGTGAAGTGCATAGTGAAGGACAGACAACTGCAGAGCCAAAGAAACTTCACCCTCACCCCTCCTTTCCTGAGTAAAGACTATGGCTACAGAACTGAACAATGTCATAATATTAGTCACCTTTGTGCTGTTATGCGTCCAAGTGATTTAAAACTGAGATGCCCCCCTCCCCTCTGAAATAGTATTTATTTTTTGTAAGTACTTGAAGTTTTGTTTTTGTGTTAAATGCATATACACCCATATTGCATTAAAAATCGTATCTCAAAGCCCCTTCTCTACCCATTGCGGCTCTTTGTAAATCTTGGGTCATACATTTCGGATAAAATGACTCTTTGCTTTAAAAAGGTTGAAGACCCCTGGACTAGAAGAAAGCTTCACTCAGGACAGGTGCCAAGTGACCTGTAAAGCACGGTTGCCTTGTGTAGGCCGATTCATCCATTCACTGCACGAGTTCCGGAACACCTATGGAACGTGTCGCAGTGACTCATCCTAAAACAGCTATCACAGCTATGGTTGGCTGTGGGTCAGAATGCTATCTCTGTAATTGTCTGCAAGGGAATGTTCTTCTGACAATCATCATGCCATGGAACTGTATTGATGTTTGGCAGGCCACCATTTTCCCAGCTATCCTGGGTGAAAATTAGTGTCAGTCTGGCAGATTTTGAAGTCTGAGCCCACTGCTTCACAGTATGTTTTGTGTCTGCGTATGAATGTACCTGTACTCAGTGCTGGCATTGCCACTAATACCGTATCATGTGACCTTTGTCGCGTACGTCTTATTTAACCTTCTGGCAACCTGGGGTAAGGGACACACTTTCGCTGACGGGGGCATGATCACACATTCCTTTCAATTTCATAAACTTAATTCATGGCAAATAATTTCTTATATATTTGTTTTGCAATATATAAGCAGTTAAAAAATGCGGCAGATCAGCACACTGATGGACGTGCTGGTTTTAGCCAATCCTGAGCATGAGACTGGCCAACCTCTGCCCTATTACAGTGTGTAATACACATGGTGCCTCTGGCCTTTGATACAGTTGATGGAACGGCCTCCTCATATCCTGTTTTCTTTCATAGGGGTTTGCTGCTACAGGAGGGAAACCGGCCGTCAGAGGCCCTGCATTACTATAAGCTTGCGATCGGGAGCAGGCCGACGCTGGCCTGTAAGTACAGTCTTTCACCTGTAATTTCAGGATCCTGAGCAGGGCTGGAATGGGATTAAAAATCGGCCCTGGACTTTGGGGCCCCTCGCGGTAAATTTTGCTGAGTGGTTGGAGGGCCCCACAGTAAATTTTGCCGGCCCAAGTACCCATCGGCAAAATCGCCCAGTATGCCAGATGGTCAGTCTAGTCCAGGTCCTGGGAGACAGAGACGGTAACGTAATTAGGAAGGCTGGACTAAAACAGGGCACAGGACCACAGCCTTCTGAGATTAGAAGGTTCATCCAGGCAACAAGTACAGGAGCATCAAAGTGGGCATTGGTTCATTAATCTGTCACAGATACTTCACACATATGAGGCCGAAACTTCATTTATTTAGTCAGGAGACTGCAGCAGTTGTGTGCTATTTACCCCGACCTGAAGTCCCCGTGTGCTCTCGGCTCAACTCCTTAGTAGCCAGTTTAATAAAATTGCAAAGACCTTTTGTGCAAATAAATGCTTTTTTCCACTCTGGGCACATTGTAAATTGGCTTGTCTGCTGTTGTTGTACATCGTAGATCCAGAAAGAAGACAAATTACAAATAAGCTTTTATTTTCCCAGACTACTCTAATTTACTTGAACGGTACTCTCATTCCATCTGATTGAGTAACAAAGATCCCACATTCTGAGCATGGGTTAGGTCTTGTTTAGTAATGCAATTTCTTTGAACACCAAAATCAATTTTAATAGAATAATGGCAGAGTGACTTTTTGAATCGGTTAAGAGTACATTAACAACAGATCTGTATTGTTAATGGTCTATTGCGACAGCCTGTGTGAAAGGCTTCAGCTATGGGAGCTCTTGAAACCCAATGCCTGCACATTCCCTGGTAATTTGGTTTGAATAAGTGCTGCCACTCCATGGATGATAAGAGGCAGCCCACAATTATTATTAATACATGGTACATGGTGTCTTTTTGTGCATCAAGCTGCCTACTTGAACATGGGGATCATCTTGATGGACCAAGGCCGCATGGATGAGGCCAAGAGGACGTTCCTGACCTGTGCCGACATTCCCGACGAGAACCTGAAGGACCCTCATGCTCACCGGAGCTCGGTGACCAGCTGCCTGTACAACTTGGGCAAGCTTCTTCATGAGCAGGGCCTCCAGGAGGTGGGCAGAAGGAGCTGGAGGAGCATGACGAGAATGGGGGCGGAGCGGCAGGGAGCTGGCGGCGTGCCACATTGCCAGGCACCAGCCAATGACACGTCTAGGAGTCAGGAGCGGGAGCAGGCCTAGCAAGTTTGAGTAACATGCCATATCGCTCTGGCAGGACCAGATGTACTATGGCACTCCAGACGGGGCCCATAATTAGGCCTCAATTTGTCCTTCACTCTCAGAAAGTTCAATCTGAAGTAAGCGCCACCCTGTAAGTCAGGCTTAGAACTGACATTTACACGAATGTCTAAATTCAAGGTAATTTAACATAATTTGCCTGGTCAGTGTGGTCTGGCGAAACATTAAAATAGCTACAATTCAGCAGTCGGTTAATGCATTAGCAGAGCACTGCCAGGAAACACCTACAGCATGAAATTTCACTTACGGTCGGCTGCGATGCAGATTCAAAAGCTTCCTTATAGCAGCCCCTCCCCTCTCATGTGAGACTTACTCCTTTATGATGGGCTTCCTCCCTTTTGTTCCTAGGAAGCCCTGTCTGTATACAAGGAGGCGATCCAGAAAATGCCCAGGCAGTTTGCCCCTCAGAGCCTCTACAATATGATGGGTAAGTGTGATATAAGTGGTGAAGATCAGCTCAGCATTGTAGGATACTGAAATGTCACATGCTCTGTCGCTATGCTGATGTTGACCTTTTAATGAAAAACATACAAAAGTAAAAGGACAAATTACTAGTTGCTGATACAAAACAGTATTAGTACAGAATCCCTATTGTATTATCATGCATAATTTGAATATTTATATTGCAACCAGTTTCAACCTTCCCTTCTTATAACTTAGTATTATGTTAAATATCAGTCTCAAACTGGCTTTGTTTTTAAATATGACGGGGTTTTTGAGAACTTGAGGTCTCGTACCATATGCCATTCTGTATATACAGTATTTTAACAACAGCATATCCAAGCATTCGCTAATTTTACTGCAGTTCCACCTCTGGATGCTTGATTTTGCTTTTAGACTCAACACTACTTAAAAAATGCACTATAAATTCATTTAATCAAATATATTACATAAGCAGGGCTAAAGCCATAACGTCAATAATCTCATCCATAACACAAAATAAAAAGTGGGGTACCTTGGCCAACTTTGGGGTCTTATGTGTAGAGAATGCTGGTTCTAACAAAGAGGAGGTGTTTAACGTGTAAGGTTCTTATTGCTTAGCGGGGGGGTTACATTCTCAGTCCAAATGGAGGCATATGTGATTGTAATTGTAGACTGTACACTGACGTTTTGACTTCAAGCTGACAACCAGTTTTGTTGAGAACAAGGGGCAATAATCCTTGTTATATTCTTGTGATAGTTAGGGTTAGTGCATTTCTTAAGTTTGATGTAGGTTGATTCATACTTAGTGAAAAGGGACCCTATTGTGCTTTTTTGTTTTTCACCTTTCCTTTAGTGTGTTATTTTGCTTATTGTATATGTAAACGGTCTGCAAGGTCTCATGGTCTAAAGTAGACATCAAAGGGAGTAACTCTCACTACAGAATCCTCTCTTCTATAATCTTCCTGAAATGCCTCATTGGAATTCCAGCCCTTACTTCCATGACATGAGGAGGTCACCTCGTAACTCAAACCTTATTGGCCGCCTACCTGCAAGCAGAGTGCAAGAGGGGCAGATCATGTAGGGCAAGCTAACCAATCAGACTACCCGACCAATCAGAGCACATTGGGCTCATCGTGGGTGGGGCTTGAAGATGTAACAGAGCATTTCAGACAGAGTTATAGGTAGAGTGAATAGAGGTGTATGTTATGAGAAAAATAATTTGGTTTTGGAACATTGAAGCATGAAAAATCTATTCTAGTAGACCCAAAATTAGTAGATTGTGAAAATGAGCATAATAAGCCCTCTTTAAGTATAACTGTAGTTCATCAATAACAATAACTCTGATTTGTATTAGGATGTATTTTGCTATACTGTATATAGTCAAATTCTTGGCATGATTACGGAAAGCCCCAGACGAGTTTGTTCTGTGAGCTGGGACAAACGCAAGGAAGGTGAAGGTTTCTGTTGATGTCTGTAAAGCCACATCGTATGTCATCAATAGGTCATCAATACCGTCAACAAGTCATCAATACCATATCATCGGTGCACGTTGAATTGAAGTACATGGGTCAACCACATATTGTAACTTATCCCAGCTAAACTGTAGCCAGGAGGGAGTAAGTCCTTTAAGCACAAGTGCTGGAGACATTCATCTTCTCAAGAACGATATATCTAGTGATCGGCGGACATTTTTATACGCGTCTTACTGTTTTTGGTGTCTTTTACTGTCTCACGCATGGGCTACTTAATGCAACATTTTCTTGATTCACTGTAAATCCCGCTGAAGATGGATGTGTTTATAGCTGTTTGCTTTGCATGGATCTTTCTGCAGCACATACAGAGTGTCATTTCTTTTCTACCCCATTTACGATGGATTTCATTGCTTCTCGTGGATTTAATTATTTGGGGGGGGGGGGGGGGGCAGCTTCCAGTCGTTAAAAAAGTGAACGTTAACCGGTTGAGGCACTTTGCCGAAAGCTTCAGCTCGTGATGGCTTGTATCCGATTTCACAGCTGGTCTGACTCATGGCTCAGTTGTTTTTCTTGACAGCCCCCTCCTGTGTCATTGAGTCCGCCAGCAGAAAAAATGGCCGCCACTGTGATGTCGTAACCTCTGACCTCACCCTTGCCCGACTTGCAGGAGAGGTTTACATGCGGCTCAACCAGCTGAATGAGGCTGAGTACTGGTACAAGGAGTCCCTGAGGGCCAAGCCTGACCACGTCCCCGCCCACCTGACCTATGGCAAGCTCCTGGCCCTCATGGTGAGTCAAGCTCTGCCCACAATTGTAAATATCAGTCTATAATTTACACTGAGAGCCGGCTTGTGGTGACACGAGCATTGGTTCTAAGGATCCCTGAAGAATTTTAAACCTTTTATATTGTTTTTCCATCCATCTATTCATTTTCTGTACATCGCTTGTCCTATTCAGGGTCACCAGCATAAAAAAGTAAAAAATACATATAGGAAAAAGTATAGCCCCCCAGTGTCACAAAATGCAAAGAGGCCTCACTGAGTATCAGTCAGTGTAATTTAGTGTTATTGACTGCAAACATGCACTCCAGAGCAAACATGGCTAATTTGTTTTTCAAATGTGTTTTTCTTTGTATTGTATTTTATTGTTTTATTGCTTAAATTTAATTTTCATCTGTCAATGAATTTTCCAACCATTTATCCTGGAAAGCGTTGCAGAGATTTCATTTTTAGTGTAGTTTCATAGGGTTTAGCTTATTTCTATATAAATTCAATTCACCCTGGAGACATTGTAGTTACTTACTGAGTCAGCTTGTTTGTTTATGTTGTTTAGTATTAGTAACATTGATTTAGAAGCTGGCTTCAGGTGACCACAAGCAGGGTGAGTATTTGGAAGATGAATAGTTTAGAGAAATACTCTTGTGTCATTTGAAGGCTGCTCAGTTTAACAGTATGAATGTAATGGGTACAGGCTGGACATTTTACCAGGTCAACAGCTCCTAGAGGGACGTCTTGTAAATGTTGATAGCTCTCTAACCAGCCAGACCTGAGGTGGAACATGCTGCATTTAGTGAAAAGTAAGGAAAGTCGTTTTGGAAGATAGTGACATGAAAAACTTAGGAATGGCCCTTGAAACTGCACTACAGAAACTCGGAAATCTCAAGGAAAGTTGCCTCTTCCCATCCCTTTTCATTTCCACCCAGAATCTTGCTGCCTCTGCTGTAAAAATTATGTTGTGTTACATAACATTGATGAAAGAAGCTCTTTTGAAGTCTGCTGGTTATCAAAATATGACAGTTATCATCTACCTCCACTACATTAAAACTTCAGAGGAAATCAAACTGTTAGAAGAGATAATGTGTTTTTTCAGAATAGGTAGGTTCATATGAAGCGAGGCATTGATCTGAGAAAGGGAAGCGTATCATATTACCGAAGCTAACTCACTCACAATGTCATATGTGAAAAGGAAGACAGTTATTAATGTAAGTCGATTCACTTCAGGTCTAAAATGTGTTTTCTTTGCAGAGTTAGCTTAGAGCGTAATGCCTCTTTGCTCGGAAAAACAACATATCAAAGAAAAATAAACGTGTTTTCTTAGCATTTGAGTACACGGCACTTGAAGCATTATGAAAATCTAAGATGACTAGTGTCAGTTCTTGGTTGTTTTGCTAGCAAAATTGCAAAGGGTGTTGGTTAGCTGTGAGCTTATAAAATTGAAATTTCAGAATGCATTTTACTTTAACTGTGTTTATTGTTTAAATCCTTCTCCCGCCCTTGTCTCCCCACTGCTTTATCTGTCTAATGCTGTCACCATTGAAGGCGGACCAATAACAGCAGATATTTGACGTATTGTAGCTGTGCATATTGAAGAACACTTGCATGAACACAACCAGCCCTGCGGAGCACGGAAGAATCACACTTTGACATATCAAAATTCCTCTCAAGTCTCTCCCTAAGTCCTTCCTTCTGTCCTGAAGTGGAGTGCAAATGATGAAAGATGGGATAGAAATCTCACAATTGTCTACATTTACCTTTTCAGTAAATCGATACAGTAGCACCTGTTCATTGTGGCATTTTCTGACTGAAATAATGTTGCCATGTCTATAAATTTTGAGAAAATCTGGAGCTATTTTAACATTTCAATACATCTACGGCATAAAAATATGGTATTGAATATAGATTTATTCTGCATATGTATTAGTGAGTAAGTATGCAGTGGAATCTGTCTGTCAAATGCAACTTTGAAAGCTCTTCATTCTTGTAAAAGGGGCAGAAGACTGAAGCAGAGCGATACTTTCTGAAGGCGATCGAATTAGATCCCACTAAGGGAAACTGCTACATGCATTATGGTAAGTGCTTTCCGAAGGTAAAACCTCGTCAGCTTTACCTCACTGCAACACTGCGGAGAAAAGCTGCAATTTATCATGATACTTTTTGAACATCTAATATATACACATACTGTTAGAACTTAGTACACAGATTTTCAGTGTCACTCCTAATACTACTATAAATGTTGGTGAGTTTTAATAGTGATGACCTTGTGCAGACAGCAGAAAGTGCTGAACCATGGATATCCGTCCTTTTTCTGCAATTTACGGCTCCCATTTTTCTGGGCCAGTTCCTCAGGTTTGGGTGCTGGCCAGGGGGGATGATGTTCTTAGATCCGTTCATCTCCCATTGAAGACAGTCTCACGTTGTTCCTTCCTCGGTTATTTTGACTTGTCACCTCATCGTCCCCTTCGGCCACATCCAACGGGACTCCATCCAGCTTCTCAGTCCAGCAGAGCTGGCCAACCTTTCCCCTAATGCCGCTGGAGTAGAAGTACATGGTCTGAAGTCACAGGTCAGCGAGGGCTGGCCTTTTTCCTGGAATTGTTCTCCTTAGCATATAACAACACATGATAAATGGAAGGAACGTGTCGACTGTCACACTGCTGCTGCTCACAATAACAATATTCATTTGCATGATGAAAACTGAAATTGACAGACAATGCCCTTCCTGACAAAGGCTCATATCAACACTCATTCAACATAATAATAAAAATAATAATTTAGAGAGCATCAGACTTGATTACCACACCATGCATTCTTGTTTGTTTTATTTTTAAGTAACATTACATTTTCAAAGCTTGGTGTATTAAAGTTCGAAATTATTTCTTTGCAAATGTAGGGTTTTACTTGGATTTAAAAATTAGGATTATGCAGGGCATACTACTGTATGTCACTATAATACTTTGTCTTTTAACATTTGCTGTCTTCATAACAAAAACAATATATGGATAAGCTCATGGGATAAAATATCGTTGAATAAAATACTTTCTCATAAATAGCCTATTTCTGTATATATTTCTGTTTGAGGTTATTCCACAAGGTACACTAATTAAAATAATAGGGCTTATTACTTCATAAAAGACAACTTATATGTAGATATAGTATGGCTGGGTATTTATTTATTGAGCCAATTTTAGAATTGCTACACTGTGCTACATTTTTCTTTATTGAAGCTAGATCTCACTGGTGTAAAAATAGATACCTTCCTGAGATCTGGACCACAGCCATATGCTTGGTAGTCCAGCTGTCTAACCACTGTGCTACTGACTTCCCTAAAATATCAAAATTCTGATTTTATCCTGAACTATTTTCAGAAGCATTCCCGCTTTTAGCCAGAACTTTAACGTCAAGCATACTAGCTGAATTCACCAAAGGCAACTGGGAATGTTTTTTTTCTTATAAGTTTCACGTTGATACTGTGCTGCCAATACTGCGAAGGAGAAGACCATGCATAACGTAAATATATCCACCAGAAGATGCTGACATGCCTAGCATGTGAGCGAGTTACAGTTTCAGCTTGTTTTTCAGACAAATTATATCCTGGAGTTTCCCAACCATAGTCATTCCTGAATGTGGGCAAACGTTTCGTTAAACATAGATTAAAATGGTCCCTCCTCTGTGACCTGCAGGCCAGTTCCTGCTGGACGAGTCCCGTCTGTCGGAGGCCGCAGAGGTGGCGGAGAAGGCTGCCCAGCTGGATGGTGCTGAATTTGACGTGGTCTTCAATGCAGCCCACGTGCTCAGGTGGGAGGCGTCACTGAGGCAGGGGTCCTGTACGCAGGCAGGCCGACTCGCCGAGGCAGCACACGCACATGCAGCAGCTAGCGGAAACAAAAGGGCAGCTGATTTTCAGCCTTTAGGTGTGAAATGGATGGAAAGTGCTTCAGTTATTCATCCAGCAGGTATCCGTTAAACACATTGTAGTATTTAGTAGGTGCTGTTACTCAAACTGACATACCTCCAAGATAGTAGCGTCAGACATTTCTTGAAACAATGGGGGGGGGGGGGTGGTTGTTAAGAGAGGCGTTCATTCAGAGAAAACACAAATTTGATTTTATAGCAAATGAGCTCCTTAGTTACTGGAAAAGACAGAAAAAAATCCAAGTATGGGGCATGTCTGAGGCTTTTGTACATTTGGATAGATTATGGTTGCATTGCAGATTTCAGTTATCCTAAAATAGAGTACAGTTACCTGGCTCTGTGTAATATTGCTGTTGTGCAGCAGGTATGTCACAGAATGCCTGCATCTGAATAATAGCATACAGGTCGTTTTTGGGAGTTTTACTTACACAGAGTAAAAATCAGATGTATTGGTCCCGTCCCCTCTAGTTGCTTGGATCCACCTTCTCTACAATCTGACTGGTTGTCTCTCTGAACCAATTTTTTTTCGGTCTGCTCTTAGAATATTTTTGTGTAAGTAAAACTCCTATGAGCACCCAGATCACCTTCAGAAAAGCCGATGGCCAGCAGTACATTTGAGCTATGATTTCACCACGACTTCTGAAACTTTTAGCCTTTAAGAACATCAGCAGTTTAGTCTGGCGAGACTTTAACATGGAAAAAAAAACAATTATATTGTCTTTTCCATAAGAAAACACAATGTGTGCTGGATTTCTATAGTCAATACACAGAGCACAATATTGGGTCGATTTTATCCTGTGGAAAGATGCATAAGCTAATTTTTTTTATTATTTTATTTATTTTAGTCAGTTGATGTGAAACAACAAATGATCAGATTGACCATACAGTGAGCAAATACTTAAAATTTCCTGCAAACACCTACAGTATATGATCCTACTTCACTGTAACTTTTATAACAAGTACCTTCAGTACCTCCTTCCTTCTCAAAGCTAAAAGATGCAATGCATTCTGTCCAATGGATGGCTTTTTTCTTGTCAGGTCCTGGGCCAAAAGTTTTACTAGATCACATGCAGGGCTTTTTATTAATGTCGTACTCTGTTTTTCATATTTCCATGTGGTCCCATTTGTCCCATTTATGTGTTTTTCTTGGATGGAGATGTCAAGCAACCCCCCCCCCCCACCATTTCGGTGGGCTGTGATTAGAGAGATGAGGGAGAACTTCAGATGTAAGCCTCCATTGTCATGTGGCAGGTGCCTCTGAAAGGCTTGCTTCCTTGTCATATACTTGCTGAAGTTTGACCCCGGGATTACTTATGGGAGTTTGTGGATGTTTGGGGAAATTAAATTTGCACACATTTATTTTTATTAAAATTACAGAAATGCCGAAGTCTGATAAATCGAGTAGAGAACACAATCTATGGGTTGTCTGTAATGGTAGTACTTGTGTCTTACAGTATTGCGTGAGACATACAACTTATTATTATGCAACTATATATTCCACAGATTAAATGATTTTGTCAAGTTTATGAGTAAGTTTGTCCCTCTGCAAATATGATGAAATCTGGTCACTTTCAACTACAAACAATGTTATTTTTGTTTTATCTTCCAGTAGTTCCTTTTCCAATGGTTAAGCTGCCTCATTTCCTATGTAAACAATTAGGATGCACGGTCTATATTCTGCATAATGAAGATAATGGAAAATGTATTTTGATGTTTTGTTGTGTCATTCTGAAGAGACTGACATTTCTGTGCGTGCAGACTCATCTTTGCTTGATTTATATTCTATATAATAATTCTTTTCATCTCTACTATTTTCTGAAAACTCAGGTTTCAGTCTTGTTTTGCTATGTGAGATAAACAAAAACAAAACCCAGTGACAATGCATTGTTTTGGCCCAATTTTTCTATAAGAGAAGCAACTACTTGCTACGGAGCCCCTAAGGGGACAAAGGAGGAGAAAAAAAATGGCAGAAGAAAAAAAAAAAAAGAAGTCATGTTTTGCGTTATAACCCAAAACTTTTGCGATATAACCCAAAACCTTTGGGTTAACTGTTAAATCCTTATAACTCAAAACTTTTACGACATAAGGCAAAACTGTTGTGACTTTGAACTGGAAATATGAGTAATCAGTCAGTGTAAGGAACATAATTGATAGGAAAACATGGAGCGTTTAATCGAATTTTACTTTGGTCCTGGTCTACAATATATGGACGTTCAGTTTGTTCTCGGATTTAGGCATGATGTTCACATAAGTCTGAGGCAGATTAAGAGGATTTTATGTGAAAGGGGATTATTCCAACGGAAAAACTACTCCGACTTGGGTGATGTAATTAACTTTATTTGCAAGCAGCTTTTGCACTCTGGGCAGCGTCATGGTTATCGATGGATGTATGCAAAATGCAGAATAAATGGACTTCATGTGAGAAAAGAGGATGTGCGTTTGATTTATATTAATTATATTAATTTATTATAAACATGAAACAACAACAAAAAATGAACAATTATTTAGGTTTAAATCAACCTCAACAGATTAGCATTAATTAGCAATGTTACTGAAACGTACTTTACCAAGGCTTGCTTTACAAATGACTAATTATGAATTAAACAATCAAATCTTACCACACTGAACTCAAAAGTTTTTTTAACCGTTAAATTAGATTAATAAGAGAAGTCAGGATCAACCACATCATGCAAACAGCGGCTTTGGAAGTCGCACTTGAATGACCAAAAGTACGCTAGTCACCTGATTTTATTGATGCATTACTACAGAAAAGTTTTGGATTATATCGCAAAAGTTTTGGGCTATAACGCAAAACATGAGTTCTTTTTTTTTTTCCTTCTGCCATTTTTTTTCTCTTCCTTTGTCCCCTTAGGGGCTCCGTAACTTGCAAGGTTGCTGAACTAATGCTAATGCTATGTATTTGTGTTAAGACTTTGGAAGGGTATTCATTTTATGCAAAGGACGAGTCTGAGTTGCTGTAAATCTAGCAGTCAGAGTGAAATGGATGTACAGTACTATGAGATACTGTGGCTTAGAAAAAGAAAATTATTACAGTTATTGATCTGGGTAGTAAGTGTATGTTTGCTCAGAAAAGAACAAATTTAGCATTAGAATATATCCCAGTAATAACTGAATAAGAAATAACGAATGTCTTCCTTCCATGTATTTCTGAAATTTCACCACCAGCTCACTTAGTTCCCTTTAATTTACTTAAATAATTTGATGAGGTGTTGATTGGCCAAACTTGGTATGCTAGTGGGTAATTCAACAAATACACTGCATATTGAATAGTTTCTTCAAATACTGGGGTAACATTAGGAGAGATTTTGCATTGGCTAAGCTAATTCACTTTGACAGCCATTATATAATATTTCATCAACATGAAGATCATTTAAACAAAATTTTCTTTGGCTGCTTGAGTATTATATATGCAAAGCAAATGTTTGTAGTATTGCACACAATTTTTGAATTATACAATTGATGCCTAACCCAAGGGACCTTAGGGAAGATGCATTACTTTCGTGCTCTACCACCTTGTACACCAAGTTTTCAGGTGATTGATGGAATTAAGCCTGGCATATTGTTTCACTTATCTAAATAATTACCTAGCAAGCCCTTTTAACAAAGGCATGTTATTTTTGACGTATCCCTCGACATTTTTAGCATGCCAAGACCAGTGCCTGCTCAAATTTCTCTTTCTGTACTGGCTGTTTATCCTGATAACCATGGGTTGGATATGTAAATAATCAAATATATCTTTTTACATTTTCTTTTACATTGAAGTTAATTTAAAATGAGATAGGCATATCCACTTCCCAGAAATACATAACAAATATCAAGTAAGACAAACAGAACGATGTAACACAGTGCTATAAAACATGACATACTGGTAAATCATTCATTGACATATTACATACATTTGCATAAGTGAACTTTGCAATGAAGCTCAGATCTTATTTGAAGTAGGATTCCACAAGTAAAGTGGAGAGTTCCTAAAAGAAAGTCCTTGATTGCTTCAAGGACTTTCACATTTGCCTGATCAAATTTCTTTGATCAGGCAAATGAGACTTAACTGTTAAATCCTTATGTATATTTAAATATATATCAGTGAAATAAGTGTCAGGCATGTAAAATTTAGCTGGTAAAAAGGATAAACACTCTCGTTTTCCAAATATTATTTCATCATTATGATTCACCCATGTGTTATAACAACTACAATGTATCTCTTACTGATCATTCCATAATGTATGCTCTACACACACTTATTCTCAAAGAGTCCACTATCTGTTTAATTGTTCCTTGCACAATTCAATCAGTCCCTGTTAACAGTCACGAGGCCTTCAGTTTGGTTTCCTCTGATTTTTGGAGAACGGAGCAGCAGCCCTGTTTTGACAGATGTGAAAATAATCATCATTTTCTCTGTGGAAGGCTCTTCCACTTCAACCAGCTTCATGTATAGTTATGCATTTTCTGTACCCTGTATGGTTTTGTACCAGGCATATAACTATTACCTTCCACGTTCCAGATCCTTGTAGATTTTACTTTGCTTTCACAGTAACATTCGCTCTGGAGCCCTTGCATTGTAGTGGTAATGTAGTGCTAATATACATTTTTTTTGCATTGCAGGCAAGCAAGTCTCAATCAAGCAGCAGAGAAATATTATGGTCTTGCAGCAACCCTGAGACCAAATGTAAGTATTCTTTGATTTGAATATTGTAAGTTACCTGGTAACAACAAACCTTTGATTATATTCAGTCTATGTCTCTCTCTCTCTCTCTCTCTCTCTCTCTCTCTCTCGTTCTGTCTCTCTCTCTCTCACACACACACACACACACACATAATATTTTCCTATTTTTATATATATATATATATTCCACCTTGGTGATTTGTATGTGCTTATGTGGAGAATGTTTTATATGTGTGTATATTAAGAATTTTTCTACAGAAGTGCTAATTGTTGTTGTTTCTTAGTATTTATTGTTGTTCCTGTTGTATTTATTGCTGCTAGTCTGGAGCGTACAGCGTACATGTCATGGTTGATGCCACGAGTGTTTAGTGATTATCCCACGCCGTTCTGGGTAAATGTTTTCACTCCACCGTCCGTGTGATTCTCGCTGTTTTCCTTTGGGAAGAGAGCTTTTCATTTTGATAGAAACATCTTCCCTACAAAGAAAGACATTGATACATGACATACAAAAATAATCTGCACAACAAAAATTACAAATCTATGCTTGACATTTATTTGGGCATATGTATGGTTATTTGATAATGAACAAATGAAACCCATTTTAAATCAATAGAAATTTTATGTTACATTGTAGTATCTGTAGCAACTTTCAAATAAAATAAGTTTAACAGCTGATATAGTAACTTAAACTTTACATTGATTTCTTTAATATTTATTTGATGAAATTAAAAATTTATTGTGAATTTCACAATGAGATTCACTTGACATATTTATTTTGCAAACAGTAAATATTGGCAGTTTGGAATGTTTGTGCTTTCAATAGCCCCCTCTGGCGGGTCATCCATGGATAAAAAAATAGCTCAATATGCTATCTATTAATGCTTCAGTTTGATGTTTGTTATGCTTATATAGTTAACCACTTGGTTCACCATATAGAAGTAGAGGTTCATTTAGAATAAATCTTGATGTCATCAGTCTTATGATGCCTTGTGCATTTTACATAAACTGAGATGACTTTTAATCAGAAGGTTTTACTTTATCATTAACCTCTGAAAGATATTTATTCTCTGCAGTTTCTTGTTTTTAATTAACAAATTGTTTTTAATTTTTTGGCCACAAATGATGGATATCAGAAGACATTTCAGCTTCCATGCTTACTGTTAACAATGTAAATCATTTCAGCGTTATACATAATGATATTGCTACTGTATATAAATTTCATTACATATCTCATTACAATGACAAATTTGTGTTTGCACTTATTGCATTAGCTTGTAAAAGTGTAATGGTTGGGATAAATAATGACAACATGTCTTAGGGGAATGCTTCTTGTAAGCAAAGTTTATTTGTGGAAGATTAATAACCAACTGAATTATTTTCATATCAATTGATATTTTCATTGCAGCACAGTGGTTTTCGGCTGCTCGAACCATGAGTCCAGCGATTTGGTGCAGTTCCACTTGCGTATGGTGGATTACTTGGCAGCATATATACCCACACACAGCATTTACTCTATCAACCATCTGCTGGCAGTTTTTCCTCTGTGAACATCATTTCCCGTACGGCTGGATTCGGCTGAAGTTTATTTGTTTGTGTGCTGGTGTTTGTATATGCATATGAAAATGTCCTTTTAGCTGCTTCTCCCTCAAGCTCCTTCTGCAGGAGACATGTTGAGCTCCAATTCTTTGGCTTTAGTTAAAGCTGCTATTTTTTTCCTTAATTACAGTGGATTAAAAATATTTATTTAAGAGCAGTTGTTCAAAAGTGGAGAAAAGTGGAGAGGGTGATTTTCATTGATGCATTTCAACCACATATTAAAAATGATGATGATGATGATGACTAGATAGATAGATAGATAGATAGATAGATAGATAGATAGATAGATGAAATAGCAAAATTGTAATATACCATAAATTCATATATTCCAATGTTTGAAAAAAAATAATTCAGGTGTTAATCCATCTTTATTTCTGATGGGTATCAACCTTTACAGCAGAAATGGTCTGATTCACTCCACATCTGGTGGTATTTCCATCATGGAATGTCAGAGGAAACTGGACTGGAGGTGGGGGGTGGTGAAGGTCTTTAAAACGCCATCTGAGAAGCATTGAAAGCATTGAAACATCATCACCCGCCCCCCACCCCCCACAACCTGTCTTCTTCCGTAGAAGTCATCTTGTTTAGAATGCGGACGGCAGAGGTGCTCAATGGCATGAGTTGCGTTTGTCGTGACAGATGTTGTGGCTTTGTCTGGGTCAAAGGTTGCTCTCCTATACGCTCTGCTGCCACCATCTGGTTTCACTTTACCACTTCAAACTGGCGGCTTGAGTTAAATCACACCAAAAAACATACCCACGTGCTGACAAAACTGAGAGAGATTTAAACAAACAAACAAAACCCTTGGTGTACCATACCCACCCTGATGACGACCATATGATTCACAGTGGAAGCTGTACTACTCAACAATTCCTTGGAACCAGTGGTTGAATTCAAGAGATTCAAGATTTGTTTTTGTCACATGCATGAATGCAGTGATACGCCAGCAGTGAAATGAAATTGCCACTACTCCAGACTGTGCAACACACAAGGTAGAAGGAAAACGAAGTAAAAAAGCGAGTTAACAAGATAAGTACTAAGAATATATAAATATATAAAGTATATAAAAATATTGAAAAATATGTATGTAAAAAAAAATATGAAAATATGTAACATGCAGATAAGGCTCTGGAGGCACCTACCTGAGCGCAGCCATTGCAGCAGCTGAGTGTCTTTGGTAATGCTTGATGCCCTGGACCTGCATCCCTGGTTGTAGATGTTCTCCAGGGTGGTGCAGTTTTGACCTGGATATTTGCTTAACAATGTGTCACCCTCTGTGGGGCTCTGTGGTCCCCGGAGCCACAGTAATGTTCCCAGAATGCACTGATCCCACAGTAGTGCTGTAGGTCTTTTGTAGCTTAAAGCTTCTCAGGTGCCTCCGGTGATACAGTCACTGCCCAGCTTTCTGCACTATGGTGAATGTGTAGGTTGTCTATGTCAGGTTCTCAGAGATGTGTACTCCAAGGTACCAGAGCCCCAAAAATCTTGAGGGGTGTGTACTTCCTCTGCTGCTCCTTCCTGATGTCCTTGACCATCTGCTTGTTGATCATCAAACAGAAAATAGAGTTGGAACCTGGGTGGAAGCCATAATTTGTGGGGTGTCTTTATACTTGTGTATATTTTATTGAATGCATAGGGACCTATAGAGGGATATCCTGTCAAAATTCAGGTACAAACTGCATATGCATATCTTTGTGTTAAATTTTACAGCTTATTGCATCAACTGAAGCTATTGGCTCTGGGCAGAGAAAGTTTTGTTTTTTGGATAATTTCTTTGAGACCATGACCATGACTCATTAGCCACAAGAGCTGTGAGAAATGGTTTCATTCATTCTTCGATGCAGCTCAACTCCTCAAATGAGCTTTAACTATACTGCTTACAAAAGCTACTACAATTTTGTTTCTCTTTCACTTTCTTTTGCTTTTTGCTTAAAAAAATCAACACTGAAAACTGTTCATTTAAGGTCACAAATGTGAAACAATAACGGAAGGCTAAACGGTGAATTTTTTGGTGTTACAAATTGTTTCAGGGAATTTCAGGGATTTTAGCACACTGACCTCAACATATGCCAGGAATGATGTTGCGCTGATTTCCATAGTGGTCAACATGACAAATGTGTCTTCTTGTGAATGATAAAGTATGGCTGGGGTTCACCAGGGGACACAGGGATTCTATTCTAGAAGTGCTATGATTTATTTATTGAGGCTCTTTTGAATGTGGAATGCAATGAGGTCTTGCATATTTCTCCCACTGAGGTCCTTAAGCAGACAGCATCAGTCATCTTCCCTTCACAAACGCTAAACAGAAAATGAGGAATGTCCTAATCAAGTGTGAAAATCCTGGCAGCATGACAGCTGGTATAGTCATAGGAGCTGTGATTAGGAGGCATCTTGTACATGCAGCCAAGGGATGGTATGGATAGAGTATCCATAGTTACTTGTGAATTTGATTAATTCTGTTGGTTTCACAATTCTGTGGAGTTAGTTCCTAAGCCTATAGTATTGGTCGTCTCAGTGTGCTTTCATTTAAAATTTCCAACATTTTTATATAATTCTGTGAAACATGACAGCACATGGATGTTTTGAGGAACTACCCCCTCTGCTCGTGTATAAATAACTGAAACTGTAGTAAATGATGTTTGAGATGTAATGCCACCATTTTTGGAGGTTTCTGTTCGCTTATTTAAGTTAGACAGCAAAATGTGCATTTTTGTGTTCTCCCATGTGTTCAAACAATGTGGGTGGCAATTCGCACTTTACATCCTCTAAAATCCCTGTGTTGAAAATTTCTTTGCTGTTGAATTTTCACATATTCCTTATTTCAAAAATGTACATAAACCCGAGTTTTGGTAGTTTCAGATATAATCCTTTAAATTTGTTTGGATTCCACTCACTGACCTGCTAATATTTGGCTGGAAAATTTTCATTGTCTTTCATCCTTGGTCGGAAAACTCATTAAAGGGTGTGTCTCCCTTCAAGAAATCCGAAGGCATCTGCAGAGTCTAGAGAAGCAACTGAATTCAGATCTCATACAAAGGCGGCTTCACAGCAGTCTATTCCTTTATTAGACCAGTGTTACACAATAGATACTGGATCTTTAGAAATGATATTACATTAGCTTATAGCTATTAAATTTTACAACATGCATTAGAAGTACTTGCATGTACTACGATGCATTGCAGGTCTTATTGAAAGCATACGTTGTAATGTATATATACACAAACCCTATTTCATTTAATTACATCAAGCTATTTTCTACTGTGCCATAGTTCCAACAAATGCAATACATTACATATTTTACCTAACTTATTACTTATTACCTACTTGTTCATCTTTAGTAATTGTTTGTTTAGCATATTTAATGTGTTCAGCATCTATACTAGTACACAATACTAAAAATATATTTTTTTTACCAAGGAAGAAAAGTGTTGGTGTTCATTGGAAGGTCCCCACAGACAAATAAAACTTTATTACAGCCTAGTTGTAGCAACTTCAACGTTATTTATTGATTTCAGCTGTCAATATTATATTTTTTACTTAAGAAAATGATGCATGTTCACATGAAATTTTACATGAATTACACACTTTTAAAACATAAAAAATATTCCTAAATGATATAAGACTGACTCGCTTTCAGTCAGGTAAATAGTATCTGAGGTCTCCCAGATCTCTCTCTGAAGGTTTCTTGGCCTCTTGTGGATTTGATGTGAATGATCAGTGTGAATGATCCGTGTGAAGCTACCAGTGTGGCATTTTAAAAAGGCTGAAACATTTTTCCATGAGGAAAGCACATTTTGTCATCTGTAGAATGCTTAGTGTCCATTGGCTGTTTTTGTGATTTCAGTACCCAGCCGCCTTGATGAACCTAGGGGCCATCCTGCACTTGAACGGGAAGCTCCAGGAGGCCGAGTACAATTACCTGAGAGCTCTGCAGTTCAAGCCGGACGATGCCATCACCCAGTCCAACCTGCGCAAGTTGTGGAAGATCATGGAGAAACAGGGGCTGAAGACGGCCGGCCCATGAGCAGCCTAGGTGGCATCAGGAAGTTAGAGTTTTATTCTTTAAGTGCTACAAGAATAGATATGCAGGCCTATCTAATGCTCAGTATCAGTCGTCCATAGAAGAATGAACAAGGTGGCCATTGTGGGGAACCTCAAGATTTTCACACTCGCTTCTTTGCAGAAATATCTTTTGAGCAAGATCAATTCACTTGGAGCAGGCAGTAGCCATAACAGCTTACAGTGGATGAGTATTCGCATTTTTATTGCATTGTCATAGTAACTGGACAAATTGACTTAATGGAACTCTTCTGTAAACCTGAAAAATCTGTATACTGCCATATCCAAATATTTAAACCATTCTTACAACTGAATATAAATATTTTAACAAAAGTCTTTTCATTTACAGAATACCACAAGCAAACAAATATGTTTCCCTTTTCACATATCCAGACGTTGGATGTCTGTCGTTGTGGTGTTGTGATTTTGTTATGTTACTTCCAAATGTTTGAATAGTTATGAAATAAACATTTTTTTTTTTTGGGGGGGGGGGTGCTGATTGGGATGAATTGTTTGTTCAAGTGGAAATGCCTTACAGTTTTACTGCATTTCATGAACGTTAATTAAAGGTGCTTTAATTATGCTGAGTGTGTAAATAGGATGTAGAATTTGTTATATTACACGAAAATTGCTATTCCAGATACAGTGAAGCAGTAGAGCATTTTCTAGACATGGTACACAGTTCTTAGAGAAGCAGCCTTCAAACACAGTGACAGTGAAACTGTAAGACATGGTTAGTAACTCCCCTAACCAGCCACACTCACCTACTGCACTCCCTTAAGAATAAATAAACTAGTATCTGTGAAAGACTGTAAATTTAACTTGCTTTTTTATTTGCTGTTTCATCTGTATGTATATAAATGAGCATTAATATATATACTTGGAATGATTGCAAACCAAGGAAACTGAATATTTCTGGATATATTTTAGATATTTTCTTCCTTATTTCATATTCCTGTATTGTCAGTTATTTAGATGTTTAGATGTGAGAAGTTTGTCTGCATTCACAGTGAACATTGCCAATATTTGGCCATATGATAGACTGAAGATCCCTTATGACTGCTACTATTTTGCATTTTGTTGATTCTGTGGAAGGGTTTGTCTATATCCGTGCCAAAAAGGTAACATCTGACTTTTTTGTGATTTTTTAATTTTACTTTTTAAAAAAATAATTTTCAGGTTCCTAATCTTAATTTATTATGTACCATGCTGTCATGCTTGTATAATTTGTCTCCAAAATGCCTTGAGAGGAGAAGAGACTAACATATTGCATTTATTAATAAACCATGCCATCTGTTGTGTGGAATGAATTTGTGGTTATGTATTGGGGTATTTTAGACAGCACTTTGAGCAAAAAAAGCAATCAGAAAAGACAAATCAGCATATTCCTTCAGTCATTCTTAGTAAAGTTTCATATGCCACAAAGTATGGGAAAGACAACCAGGATTGTGTAAATTCAGTAATAAATACATTCTCATAGCTTCATCTTGGCCCTGCCCTGAAACCACATTCAGTCTGAAACAAACAGTTCTGAGAAAAACTGTTTGTGAGAAACTGGCGACACTCTGGTTGATCGCTATGCCAGCTGTGACTTCAGACAAACAATAGGGGGCGATGCGAGAAAACTGGAGACGCTATATGTTGTCAACTTCCTTAGTCAAACTCATCAGACTTGGTCTCTGTTCAACAACTCCAGTGATACCATAGCCCATGTCCAGTCACGTACAATAGAGCAATTCATAAAGTTCTCCTTAAGCTATATGTCTGCTGCGCCTAACTGCGTCTTTGGTCTGTGGGAGAAAACCTGCCCGACATTAGAACATGCAAACTCCGCACAGATGTGGAATTCTAAGGTGTGAGACAACAGCCTTCACTGAGACACCACGCCACCCTGCAGCAATACTATTTCTAAAAATAGCCAAATGAAATTGCAGTAGTTTTTAATTCATTAAACACTATCTACCTACTTCAAAAGTGAGGGAATATGATCCAGAATAACTGTCTCACATTGTTCCATTTACAGCCTGGTTTCTATGGAAACCTGCATGTCACTGATTATAAGACATTTTAACCATTTGACCCTCCTATGAATTTAATGTTAAGAAAACTCAAGAATCCAGTTGTTTACAGAACAGATAAGTGGTGATTGAAAAAAGCGAAAGGCCCTCTAAATCAGCCCAAATCCTGAATCACTCAAAAGTGGTTCAGTGTATTGGATAGTCCACACGTTTTATTGTATCATTGAAATTGTTCAGTGCAATTTCTGAAGAAACAGTTGGTTATAAAATATTTGGTTATAAAAAGGTGGAATTAATGGAGGAGTTCCTAGTTTCATTAAAGTTGAAAAAATTGAATGAACATTTAAGTGAATGCAATAACGTAGTACCTGAAATGTTACACAATTTTCGCCCTTGCATTACAAATGTTAGCAACAGAGACTGAATGTATGTGAGTATGCAATCATGTGCTAGAGTATGTAACTATGGCTCTGTGGTAGGTCATGTTTCGAGAAAGTACCCAATTGTCTTCAATATCAAGTTGTATCTTCCAGTTATCGCAGGTGTAAGTTTGTCCTTTTTTGTGTGTGTGTTAGACTAACCCAAGAAAAACAGCAAGTTCTAGGCTTGATGTTTCCCAGGTAACACCTAACAACCCCCTACTTACAAATCCAGCTGCTTTTATGGTACAGTAATACAACACACATGTGGAACCTAATGAGGTTATATCAAGCTCAGGGTAGCAGACGGATTTCAGTGTTTTGAAGCTGACAAAAACTACCATTCAAGTCATAAAAGTGCCCGTATACCTTTCAGCACATTTGGTGTTTGCGCGTCTCCTTTAAATTTATTTTTTAATGGTAATACTTCTGAGGACAGAAAAACACATTTATTGGGTGTTGAGATATTTTAAGGTCTCTTTCACAGTTTTTCATTTATAGGACGACAAAGAAATGACAGCAGGCAGATGGTGAGGATGAAGGCTGGTGTCTTTGACTGGGCTCTAAGGTGGTATCATTCAGCAGAGGTCTAGTTATTTTTTGAATATACTGATATAAACATGCAGGAGGCTTGCATGAGGCTTTTGATAAGTGTCATAGCTGTGCAGCTAATCATAGCATTGCAATGCAATGCAATTGAGGCCATCTAGACTTTCTGGTGACTCCAAGCTTTAATTTCAGCACTTCATATGACTTGTTTTCAAACTCAGAGAATTTCCTTTGTTTTATTCTCAATCATTTTCTATTTGGGAGCTTGTGTTCAAGCATTTCTTCTGCTGTTTAAATAGTCCTCTGAGTTTACATATGGCCCTACTGAAAATAACCTTTTTCCCTTTATATCTAAGAGTACATGTCAGACATTTGTCAACTATACTGTAAATATCTGCTGGTAAAATCACTAAATCTAGACTGACTGCTATATGTATTAGAACAGAAATGTGGTTTCATTCTTACACACTACTGAATAGAAATACACGATCAAGATCAACAGAAACTGTTAATGTGACAATGATCCTGATTGTAATTTCTTTCAGGTGCATGCCAATCTGTAGATTTATTGTTGTTCGTGTCTCTTGGAAACCTCACTGGGCATGTAGCTTTTTCTGTCTTTCTGTTGTTGCCAAAGAATCGCCTTTTCTGACATGAGGTCTCTGGTCTAACGCCAGCCTGAAACAGCAGAACCCCAGACCCTTGCATGGCTTCAGAGTTCATTATCCAGATCCCGGCTATAACTAAAGACGTGCTAGATTCATTTTTGATCACTGATTAAACTCTACGTGTCTACTGTGATTGCTTGATTCGCTGAATGCTTACTTTGTTTGTGCTTTGGAACTCCGCATCCACTTCGGTTAGCTTTTCATGAAGATATTCAGGCGTAGACATCCATTTTCTGATCATGACTGGTGAAAAAAGGGAGTTCTTTTCCTCCTGTGGCTTTCAGTTCTTAACAAGACTCAGCCTCCCTTTTACAACATAATAGAACTGGAAGTTTTGAAGGGTGGGAGACTTAGTGGCAATTTCTGCTTATGGCATGCATATAAACCAGCACAAACTGGCTTAGCCGTCACTTTAGATGTAGACTCATTATTATCCAGAACTTTGACGGATTAGTCCTGATTTTAAAAATAGTATGGATTTCTCGACTGTGTGTTTACGCCCCCTTCCTGTCACTCCCAATTACATGTGTTGCCTCCCTGAACGTTTCCCCCCTTTTTTTAACATGTGCCACATTTCCCAGGACGCCCGGCTTTCCCCACCTAGCCTGCCATCTCGCACTAGCGAAATCTATGATTGGGCTCCTCGGAGACCCATTACAGTGAAGTACCCGTCCCGTCCAGCTACCGGCGTCATACATCATGGAAACTCGAGGCCGTCGGGCACCCTGATGGCCTGACCCCAGCCAAGGACCCCAAGGCTATTCGATTACAGCGACACGTCAAGACGCAACTCCAAAGTGGCACTAATCACTCTAAGCTAATTAAAATGCGAAAGAACAGGAAATTCATGTCTGACGTAGCATATAACCAAACAATGGGACCTGTGTCGTGGAGTCTTATCCACCATTGAACCCTTGCCTTCACTTAGTCGCTTTCTCCCTGGTGGTAACATGGCCAGGTACACTTTCATACAGGGGTCGGACACATTACAAATCCTTTCAGGCTTGGAAAGTCACATGGAAACAGGCTTCTGGGCTGGCAGGCCCTGCGGCTCATCAAGATCTTTTACAATACTGATAGAAATGGTAAAGAAAGAACTTTGGATTGTGACTTGGCACACTCACATTTAAAAATTCCAGAAATCCTCAAATCACATAAGTGGAAATACAATATCAAAAATATAAGTGGTAGTCTTCCCTTTATCTCCCCTCCCCTTAAATTATTGATAATTATACTAGAATCTTCTTTTTGCAGTAAATAATTGTCTTTTGAGCTGCAAGGTCTGTCCTGTCATGAATGTTGCACCATGGATCCAGGAGGAATCAGTTTGTTTCACTGTGTATTGTACTTGGCGGAAATGACAAGCTTATTATTATTCAAGCTTGACTTGGACAGTATGGCAGCCATGTACAATGAAGACAGACCTTTCTGGTTTGAGGTCTTTCAAACTGTGGGTAATAAAAAAAATGCCTTTAGTATTTAGCATGTATTATACACTTTTAGTTAAACAACACAAATAGTATTTAATTTCAGAACTTTATTCTCTCTTTTGACATTTTGATCAGAAGCTATGCAATAAATGTTGGATCAAAGCTGGATCACAGGATTAAAAGTTCTTCGTCTGCATGTTTCATTGTCAGGAAATAACTAAACTGATACTAATTATAAGAGTTGTTATACTCGTCAGCAATAATAAATTGAAGGATCCAGACGAACGGTTAACTTTTCTTTATTTCTCCTTACTTTTGTAGAACACACCTCTCTTTCTCCTGCGCCCTCTAATGTTCTGGAGAGTGCAGTCAATATCACAGTCCACAGTATTAGTGTCTATCTCAGCTGCATGAGTCTTAAACATAACAAGAGTCTCTCCTAATCTCCACAACAACACTTACAGTAGATAGTTCACAGAGAACCAAATCCTCATTTTACATTCTTTTGCATTCACTTTGGCTTTACCTTTCAACCTGACTTTGGTCATACAAATTCTGTGCAAATTTTCTGAAGTGGCAAACAGCCAAAAGGTATGAAAGGTAAGTTTGGGATGTGCTGTAACCTTGACTGTAAAGACAGAGCTGGATTTGTGTTTTATCTCATTGGCTTCGGTCTTGATTGCAGCCCATACATGACACATACTTCCCCTAAGATGTAGGTCAGCAAGCAGTGGATTGTCTCCTGCATTAAACCTGTAACTGGTTGATGGCGATTCCCAGCTTATGTGAGCCGGGCACACAGTGACGACAGAGCACCTGGCACCTCTGCCTCATCTGTGGTGTCACCAACATTTACACATTGATTTTTAGTAATGAGCTTTATTACGAGGTCACTGGACCAGGAATGTAACTGTGCTAAATGCTTCTGGGCAATCAAACCTGCAATTATATACGTTTCAGGGTAATAACAGTGAAATGAATGGGCTCACAGAAAGGCTACTTGGCAGTGAGCAGCTGATGTAAACGGAAACTTCGTTCTGCAGAGAGAGGCCCCAAGATAATGCCGAAAGGAATCAAACGTACTATGAAAGGAGTCTATCTGTGTCTCATCTTGGTAAGGAAAAGTAAATCCTGATCCTTTAACTTCTTAAAAAGTAATATATGAGGTTTAATGATCAATTTTGAACCAGTGCCCAACAGAGATCCAGTCTTTATATTATTTA